CCTGGGTCTGTTAACACCTCTTCCCTTCCCCCCGCAGTCTAGAAGTTCTAGTGACACCCAATCAACATCATAGTGATAGGCAAGCCTCCACTGACGCCTTGGTAGGGAGTTGAGCATGAGGCACACTGGCTGGGAATTGAACCTGGGCCTCCTGCATGGGAGTCAAGCATTCTACCACGGAATGACTAACAGCCCAAATAGAGTCACAGGCTGGCCCTAGTCCTTCTTGTGCACTGTGGTCCATGAGAATGTAGGGAGGAAGAAGAGAGGAAGAGGAGGAGGAAAAGGAGCAGGAGGAGAGAGAGAAAGGAAGGGAATTGAGGGCAGGAAGAGTGACGTGGAAGTGAGAGATGGGGAGAGTCTTGGAGATTCCGGGCTTCCCAAAGGCTCATCTCAGGTCTGCCCATCTTTATTTCTCTGTGCTCACCGGCATTCCTCACTGGGAGCCCAACGCACTTGTCTCCATAATGTAGGGTAGAAGGGGAGCCCACCAAGGGGATATAGGCCCACTGAAGCTTTTAGTGAAATTTCCAGGTACAAGAATATACAGCGAGGAGCCAATAGTGACAGGGAGGGGAGGGAGGAGAAGAAGCATTAGACATAAAGGTGATCAGTGTCTGGTACACTCACTTCCATCAATCACATCAACACTGACTCAGAGACCCATGCATGGGACAGGGCAGAACTGCCCCGGTGGGTTTTTGAGATGGCAACTCTTGATGGGAGTGGAAAGGTTTCTTTTTCCTGTGGAGCAGCTAGTGGTTTTGAACTATTGAGCTCGTGGTTAGCACCCAGTGCATAACCACGAGGTATCAGAAAGTAAAAAAGCCTCTGGAGTGGGTAGACTTGTGATGAAGGTGAGGGTGCGGTGACAAGGGTGGGGACTTTCTGTGGTGGAACGCAGTGTCCGCAGGTGGAGCACCTCTCGTGACCCACAGATCTGCAGTGGAGTGTTGATTGGGACGAAAGGTTGGAGTCTGTGTCCAGGTGAGTGAGGGGTCAGAGCTAAGGCTTCTCCCTGGACTCAACCAGGGGACCCCCAGAATAAATCTGGATCCTTATAATACATTCTACTTAGTTTAAGTACTTAAGCTAGCTTACATTGTCTTTGGAGATATGTAAACAAATGCTTGGCTAACAAACCAGCAGAAGCAGCGAGTCCACATTGTGAAAAGCTCTTTAAAAAGGCGACGTGCAGCAATGTTTCCAGTGCACAAGATTTGACACCATCTGCATGGTGATCGAAAACACAAACTCACTTCCACTGAGTAGATTCTGACTCATAGCGACCCTCCAGGACAGGGTAGAACTGTCCCTGTGAGGAATTTCCAAGATTGTAATTCTTTAAAGGAGTAGAAAGCCTTGTCTTATTCCAGTGGAGCGGCTGCTGGTTTTAAACTACTGACTTTATGGTTAGCAGCCCTATCCATAATCATTATACCACCATGGCTCTTGCATGGCGATGGCTGACAGGAAACCACATTCAGTACCAGTCTGAAGGACAGGGGTCAGGGTCAGGCCCTCTGGTCCAAGCAATGAGCTTTTTTAATGGTCAACAAACAGGATCCAGGCCAATGCAATCACAAGGACACTTGAGTTAGAAGAAATCTCAGAAGCCGTTTAATCCAGTTTCACCATTCTGCAGCAGAGGAGAGTGAGTGAGCCCCGGAGAATGGCGAGGACCACGTGAGGCCCCACACATTGAAGGTTTGCTCTCCCCGCGCAAGGCCTGGTTTCTGTCGGTTGCATGAGCTGCCTTTATGAGCGAGTGCTGCCTTAGTCTAGAACACTGGTCCTCAAGATGCCGTCCATGTATGACCGCCATCTGTCAACCACTCGTGTGTTCTGCATGTCTGTAATGGGACCATTCCATATGTCTGGGGGTGGCATCATTGAATCATTTTGGCTTCTTGTTTAATCACGTCACCAGCTGGTGGCGACCTCAAGCAGTGCCATCTTCCCATTGGTTCCAGTG